GAATAGAAATAGGCCTATATTGACTAAGGGAGACGGGACTATTATTTTTAGGTAGTGGCAGAGTTAAGGCCTTATGCCAGAGATCAGGAAAGGAACCAGATGTTAGTGAAAAATTAAAAATATGAGCCAGAACAGGAAGTACAGAATCTAGTATTGAGATGATCATAGTACGACTTATATTATCGCAGCCTACAGCGTTAGATTTTATGGATAGAATTATCTTTCGGATTTCATCCTCAGTTATGAAACTAAAACAGAATTGTGAAGTTGTTGAGGGAACCTTGGAAGAAAGAACAGAGATAGTGGAGAGTTTGACATTGGGAAGAACAGGTTTAATAGAAGTGAAGTGTTTATTTAGCTCATCTAACGGAAAAGAAGGCTTATGACGAAGTTGTGATTTTCCAATGCCGAGAGTACGTAGAAACTTCCAGGTATCCGCAGGAGAAGATTCCAGGATATTCTTATGAATGTAATGGCGTTTAGCTTTTCTTACCATCTGATTGCAACGATTTCTGGCAGTCTTAAAAGCATCCCAGTGCGTATCAGTACGGCATCTTTTGTAAATGCGAAATGCTCTGTCGCGCTTTCGCATGGCCATACGAACACCAGGTGTAATCCAGGGCGCGGGGGGACGTCTTAATTTGACCTTTTTTAAAGGAGCATGCTTGTCAAACAATTTTTGGACCTTAGAGTTAAAGTAGGTGACCATGTCGTTGACCGAAAGCATTTCATGAATAGGAGACCAATCAAGTAAACACGCATCACGCTTAAGTTCTTCCGTGTCCATTCTCGCAAAGTTACGAATGGAAATAGTTTTTGGCTTCGATTTTGGAGGCTTCACATTATAAGCAATATAAATGAGATCATGTCTGGAGAAGCATGGGGCAGGGATTTGACCATATTTAACGACATGATCTGAGGAGGAGACAATAATGTGATCAATCCACGAATCGGATGTATTAAGATTATGATGTGAAGGATTAAGGTGTAAAAAAGAAAAGTTTGCCGACGTAATCAAAGAGCGAAGCTTTCGAGAAGAAGGTGAATTTATTAAAAGGTCAGTATTGAAGTCACCCATAATAACATGGTGACTATAATCAGTAGCAATGGAATCAATTAACGACTCAAGGTCAGAGAAGTAATCAATGGAAGGAGGGCAGTATACGACTCCGAGAATAATCTTAGTACCCCAAATATCAACTTCCAGGAGCAGATGCTCCATGCAGTCATGACGAGAGGAAGAAGAATATAAAACTTTCGCTGGTATGCGGCTCGACAAGTAAATAGCCACACCACCACCACCCTTACCGACGCGATCATTACGGAATAAGTGAAAACCTGGTGGACAGTACAAGGAGGAGTTCAAACATGGCTTCAACCAGGTTTCAGATACAAGCACGGCGTGCACTGTATCCGTAGAGAAAGCATCGAGAAAGTCAGTAATATGACATGGTATGCTCTGTGCATTAATGTGACATGCTCTGAAACAACTGGCAAAACTGTTAATTTCACGTGTGAGCTCCTGTTTCAATGAGAGATCTAACGAGGAGTCAAGGGAGTGAAACGACGAGCTACTATCATGCAGCGAATGAAAATCATCTGTGTCTGACATAAATACTTAAATATATATAATAAATAATATAAAGTACAAAATATTACCTAATAACAAAAATAAATAAATTGAATAACCAATAATAAAAACTGCACACCTTACCAAGCAACTAGTATGAGATTACAAAAGCTTAAGCAGAATAATAATTATTAACAACAAAATCACGAGAGAGAAAAAAAAAAAACATTGAGCAACAATACAAACACAGAAACAGGAAGGCACATGTCTTGCCTTGTAAATGAACAAACAATAAAAATAGGTACATAAACATTGCTGCAAAATTATTATGAAAATGAAACGAAACATTAATTATACATATTACATACTAAGTCTATGAATAAAAAAAAAGTATAAACTTGGCTGTATGAAATGAGGAGCTCATGCCTTCCAATTTCAAGAAAATTAAAACAAAACTAAAAATGTCACAACGTCTTGACATTGACAAATACGACTTCTTGTTTGTTTACTTACATTAATAGCTATGAGTTTACAAATACCTTCGCAGTAAAAACCATTCTAATATCATACCAAGCACAACAAGCAGAATTACGAAAATAAGCAGCAAAATAACAACAGCAGCAACTTATATCTACATAAAAGTTGCGATGTCCCCATTATTATTTAGAAAATTGCTGTTACAAAGGCATAGCAGAGTCCAATGCACTACCAAATCTATTTGCAAGTACAAAACAACAAAAGGGAAACAGAAAAGCAAGAAAGCTATTTGGTGGCTTTAGCTACCTTACCAGGCTTATTTGTTGCTTGAACCATGCGTCTGGACCTCACAGGAGCTGCTCTCGGATCAAGCTCAAGCTTTGATGTGATGTTTGTGCTTTCCTTGGTATCTTTATCCGGCTCAGCAGATGACTTGGGGTCGCTAGTGGTCTTTGGATGGCGATCGGCTAATAATCGAAGTTCCTCGAGTGTGCGCACTTGATGACGACTCCCATCAGGGGTTTTCAAGTAGATGTTACCCCCTGCAGTCCACACTTTTGTTACTCCAAAATGTTCCCGTGAGGCCTGAAACAGAGCTTGGCGACTTCTTGTTAAGTATTCCGAAACGACCAAGGAAGTGCCTTTAAGTTTAGTCTTGTACTTCCAAACCGCAGCACGAACATCCAAATCCACAAAACGGACTACGACAGGCCTTGCACGCCTATTTGATACATATCCCAGTCTGAAGCAAGCTTTAATGGAAGAAGCAGATATTTCAGTGAGACCGAGGTGTTTCTGTAATAATGTAGCAATGACAGATGCTAAATCCTCATCCTCATTTTCCGGAATGCCACCTATCATGAGAAATTTTCTGCGATGTCTCATTACAATGTCGTCAATTGTTCCAAGAAGCTGAGATATTTGTTGTCTCAATAGTGACAGAATGCTCCACACCTGTTCCTTGAATGCAGTAAAATCGCTCTGCAGTTGAGTAATCCCCTCCTTGCCGTCACTGGTTGGCGATGCAGACTTCAGCTGTGCTTCAAAGTCATTCATTCTAGCAAGCAAGGTTGCTTCTATAGATTTCTGCGTCTCCATTACTGCTGAAACCGTACTCATAATGGACAGTGTATGTGATTAATAGTGTTCTCTTAAGCAGCGATAGTAGAAGATGGCAGGTTGGTGCAGTTTTCAAATCAAACACACATCAATAGATGCTATCCACAATATATGTTGCTTAATTAGATGCCAAGATGTAATTAAACACACAGTTTACCAGAAAAAAACTGATTTTACCAAATATTTTAATAAATAATTTTTAGAGAAGTAATGACTTGTTTTACACCTACCGCCCAAAAAAAAGCCCTACTATTACAGCTATACGAAGCAAAAAACGGGTCAACCTCGGAATGAGAGGTAATAAGCTGAAAATTTGTAAGGACCTTTGTTTTGGCATTCTTAATGATGTGTCAAAAGTCTCATTTATAATCTCATGACGGCTTCTTCAGATATTCAAGGTCAAAGGTCACAAATCCGTTTTTCGCAAATATCTCTCTTTCTATGCGTTCGATCGTATTTGCACCTATTATAAAAATTGTACAGCACTAAATTCTCTACAATTTGTGTGTCAGTGTCAAGCATTTTGTTTTACGATTAATTGCTTTTGAGATAGAGTGCGGAGAACGCGCAGCGCTCAGTTATACATACATAATAGTATGGAGTTCATTAACTCAAAATCAAATCTAACGCGAGCGAAGCCGCGGGCAAAAGCTAGTAATAATATAAAAACATATAAATAAATACTACTATTATAAAAGCGTTTAAAACTTTTTTTACTCAACTTTTGTTTAATGTACTAAGTACCTAATAGATTGCTGTACCTGTGTACGTACCTACCTATTTATTTTATAAATACCTACACAATGTTCATACCATACCTCACATAATCAAAGCAAAAAAATAATATAATATAACATAGGTACCTACCTTTATTTTACCTTGGCAATGTATGCACTGACTGTAATTCGTCTCTTCTTCATACGTAAAGTGCCTATGAACTGCATCTTTTTTCACTTTTGGCATTATCACAGTTCAATCACACAGAAGCACTTAGTTAGTTTATTATTAAAAATGTAAATGAACTAGATTTTAGATTAGAAGTTCGAAAAACTTTCGATGATTCAGCTCAGCTTATAAAGAAAGTGATCGAAGTAAATAAACAATAGGTAATACCGGGCAGCAAGCGGCACGTGCTACAATTACAATACAATCATTACAAATTACTCGCAAATAAACTTAAGGAGAAAGCACCAAAGAATCAATTTAGCTTGGTGTAATGACGACGAGGTCATGTCAAGTTATACTCGTCACTTCACTGAAGGGCCAATCACAGCTAGCTAGCCGTGTGTCTCTTTCTATGTATGAATTTTGAACAAAAAAGGACTCTACGTAAGAACCGGTTTATATAGAGGTTATTAATCAATTATACAGGTTAACCCTTTATCTCGGGTTTTTAACCTAATCGTTAAAATTAAACCGATTAAAACACCTATACGGGTACCCATATCGGTCCTTGGTTTTGGGTCATGTGACAATAGTTAATAAAACTATTATCTTTTTTGTAAAAATAGTAAAAACCCCTGCCAATATTCATTCTAAACACAGATGCTCACAATTGGCGCTATATTTTTAATACTATCAAATACCCTATGTTATAATATTAATCTTGAAATCCAATCTAGAAGTCATTGTTACACAGTAATAAGAGAATCATCCCAAAGTAATGCCAATATCCAAAATAGTAAATTGATTGCAACATAGAATAGTGTATATTGCATAACAGAAAATCTAATATATTATATTAGTTTGTTTTTGGAACATGTTTCACAAAGTATAGATTCTTCCCTGTCTGCACTGTGTTACTCTTTTTTTTTTACTTAAAGTACTCTTTCAGGTTCATTCCAAACTTGCTGATGTACTGACAGATGCATGTGTGGATGCGGTGCTGGCCATTCGTACACCAGATAAACCCGTTGATTTGCACATGGTAGAATTAATGGAAATGCAACACAAGACTGCCACCGAGACAACACTTATCAGAGGTAATCAAATAGGTTTTGAAATTTTCTCCAATATTGTTAAAAAATATATTGGTTTGACAACAAAGATTTTTTATTTCTTTTTGTTTGGTCCTTTAAGGTTTGGTAATGGATCATGGTGCGCGCCACCCTGATATGCCGAAACGTGTTGAAAATGCTTACATTCTCACTTGCAATGTTTCTCTTGAGTATGAGAAGACAGAAGTAAACTCTGGTTTCTTCTATAAGTCTGCTGAAGACAGAGAAAAATTGGTGGCCGCCGAGAGAGATTTTATCGACCAAAGAGTTAAGAAGGTAAATATTAATAATTTGCAATATGGGCACTGCAATATGATATTTAACGCTTTTTTATCACGCTCAATTGTGAAATGACTATGGAGTTGACAGTGAGACGCGATAAAAAACGTGATATAAGGGTGATTCTCAGTTAAGAGGTATGTTCGATGGCTAAGCCAAAAAAATCATTATATTTGGACATTATGGTCTAAAATCTTAATAATTTCAATTAAGTAACTGTGTTCTAAATTGTCACTTAAAATTTTATTCTAAATGTGCATAATTTACTTACAATAACAGCACAAAGAGGAAAAACATCTCTCCCCTGGGTTGTCCCTTAACCGTTTTTTTTTTTGTAAATCAGTAATTTTGAGTCCACTGAAATTTAATTATTACTTTTCTAACGGTAATAACATGAACCCTGATAACTTAGTTACAGTATGTAACCATTAAATTCATTTATATTTGCACTTTTTATAAAAAATATTAATCGCAAACTGTGTCCTCCGAATTTCGTCTCTCGCCCCCTGGCCTTAGGTTTAGTTTGAAAATCGTATGTGTTTACCATAGTCTGTGGTAGTTCTGACTTTGAAACACCGAGTGTCATATGAGCTAGCAGCAAGCGCTGCACAAGCCATCTGCGCGGCAATTTTTTTGGCCATTTGCACAACGGTGCTCGATAAGTGGAGCCATGTTGAGTGATCGAAGTATTTACCCTGGTCATTTTATTTTCGTATTTATTTGTTTAAATACTACAATATCTATATACATTTATTTTAAATAGTGCTGCAAACCTTTTATTTATTTGAAATCTTTGTAAAATTAGTAGTTTTACGCCAATTAGATTTTTAACGAAAATGTCTCTACCCTGCCATATTTCCCCTGGCTGTTATGGTGCCAGGCTACTAACAAAACTATAAAAATGATGCAATAGCTCAATAACAGTAATGATAATTTATTAGAGAATGTACAATTGCATATATTTTAGATAATTGTTTCGCTTTATATCGTTATTTCGCTAAAATCTGATTGCACGGATAAGTACTTTACAGTGCATCCTAATATGCGCTCTAAGTGCATTGCAATAAAGTTCATCTTGTCTCTACCCTGTACTCAGTATCTCCCCTGGTGTCTCGTAAAACGAGAATAAATTAAAAAAATGACTGATCATCTTAAAATCATATTAAAATCATCTGTCTTGATAAAAGTAGTGATATAGTTATATAAATATCGATACTTTTTGCTGTGCCACTGCTTCCATACAACCGATTACCTCTTAACTGAGAATCACCCATAATGTAAATTGTATTGGTCATGCTACAGGGACAGGTATCACTAAACAATCTTTTCTTCTTACTATTGTTTCAATACATAATACTTATCTTTCAGATTATTGCTCTCAAGAAGAAACTCTGCGATGGAACTGACAAGACCTTTGTTGTCATTAATCAAAAAGGTATTGACCCTCTGTCATTAGATGCGCTTGCTAAAGAAGGCATTGTTGCACTGCGTAGAGCCAAGCGGCGTAATATGGAACGCCTGGCTTTAGCGTGCGGCGGAACCGCCATGAATTCTGTTGATGACTTAACCGAGGAAAGTCTTGGATATGCCGGCCTGGTATATGAACATATTCTAGGAGAGGAGAAATACACTTTTGTTGAGCAATGCAAAAATCCTCTTTCCGTCACCATTCTAATCAAAGGGCCCAACAAACACACTTTGACGCAAATCAAAGATGCAGTCCGCGACGGTTTGAGAGCTATCAATAATGCCATTGAAGACAAATGTGTAATCCCAGGCGCTGGCGCATTCGAAATTAAGGCAAACGTTGAACTCTCAAAGTACAAAGATACTGTCAAAGGAAAAGCCCGTTTAGGAATCCAAGCCTATGCTGAAGCCTTGCTGGTAATCCCCAAAATTTTAGCTGTGAACTCAGGTTATGATGCTCAAGACACGATTGTTAAATTGCAAGAAGAAGCACGTTTGAGTCCAGACCCTGTAGGGTTGGATTTGAGTTCAGGTGAAGCCATAAAACCTACAGATTTAGGTATTTTTGACAACTATGTTGTGAAAAAGCAAATCCTAAACTCCTGTTCTGTCATCGCTAGTAACCTCCTCCTAGTTGACGAAATTATGAGAGCGGGTATGAGCAGTCTAAAAGGCTAATTAATTTTTTTTTTCTTCCATCGTAATGGAGCTTCATGCTATATTAGTTTCAAATGTGGTATATAAAATTTTATTCCTGATATTCGTAAGCTAGCAAAGCATAAGTACACACAAAGACTAGTGTAGCATGATTCATTCAATGGCTCTTGGCTTTATCTCTATAATTTTGCATTTTATATTGTATTCAATGCTAATAAATTTAGTTCTTTATTTCCTTTACCTTATTGTGTTTCGTATAGTATACGATGCCTTAATTAATGCAATTATTGTAACTGTATTAATAAAATAATATCTTAATATCACACTGTATTTGTATTTAATTTTAATATAAAAAATTTAGGGTTCTGTAGTTTCCCATCACAAAGTGCGAAACTTAATGTAGCATTTCGGGCCAAACCCAAACAGTTCCTGGACGCTCGCCTCGTGCATACGATTAGGAGCGCAGGCGTCGTACGGTCCCACCGGCCATTAAGCAGATACAGATAGTTTATTAATAACTTTTAAGTTACATGTCCAAAGACTACAGAGTAGTACCTATTATTTAAATTAAATTAGCAATAAAGTAACCACTGTGAAGTTAGCCCCCCACTTTTTGAATTTTATTATTATCTAGGTTGTTCTGGGTTGTTCTATGTTTGTTCTACATTGTTCGAAAGTATTATTTGAAAAAACTAAAATTTGAAGCTGCTAGACAAAAAAAAACCATTTTATGGTAGCCCCCCATGTTTGGAAATTCATTATTTTTTTAGTTGTTCCAAGTTGTTCTAGTTGTTCCTAACATTGTTCCAAAGTATTACTTGCAAAAACTAAAATTTGAAGCTGCTAGACAAAAAAAACCCATTTTATGGTAGCCCCCCATGTTTGGAAATTCATTATTTTTTTAGTTGTTCCAAGTTGTTCTAGTTGTTCCTAACATTGTTCCAAAGTATTATTTGAAAAAACTCAAATTTGAATCTGTCAGACAAAAAAAACCGTTTTTCAGATAGCCCCCCATGTTTGGAAATTCATTATTTTTATAGTTGTTTCAAGTTGTTCTGGTTGTTCGTAACATTGTTCCAAAGTATTATTTGAAAAAACACAAATTTGAAACTGTCAGACAAAAAAAAACCGTTTTTCAGATAGCCCCCCCAAATCAAATCGTACTAGAGACAATAAATAAATCAAAAATAATTTTAAACAATGACGATTGTATCAGTACATCCGTGGGATATATCGTTCCAATTTCATTTAATCATTTTGAATAAAATTAATAGTCTATAGGGTAAACTCCCTAATTATTGCCACTTTAAGAGTAGGTTCCATGTCAGTCAGACATTAAATTACCATAAAATCACATCTAAATAGTTCAATCTTTGTTTTCATAATAGTACAGTCAATGAAGTCAAAAATCATCTACAACCTCTGATTTCGTTGAACCTCCATCTATTTTCATGAAAATTGGTGATTAGGTGGATACCATATGAAACAAAAGTGACATAGTGCCAACGTGCGCTTTTGCCCTGGGGATAGATACCACTCCTCGGCGGTAAAAATTATTTTAATAAATAACTCCAGGAATCGATAGAAAGACAAATTCTAAGCAAAATTTGTTATATTAAGTTTTCGGAATAAATCAATACTTTCTGAGTTAGTAATGATCAAATATTGTGATTTTGCGTCATAAAAATACATGTTTTAAACGGTTTTTCATAAATAAGTCAAAAACTATGAGTTTAAAGAAAAATATATTATTACCAAAATTGAAGCTAATAAAAAAACCCTACTTTGAAAAACCTTCTAATATGAATTCAAAGTGAGCAATAGGTAATTGTTTGTTTTTTTTTACGACGAGTACTTAAATCTAAATATTCAGCCCTAAATAACGGGAAACCGATGCATTTTGATGAATGATGAAGGGTTTGTTTATTTGTTTTTTCCAAAAAAATTAAAGGGTTATCTTATTTTTATCATAACTTTTTTAATTTTGAAGCTATTAACTTTTTACATTATAAAGGTATTTCCGAGGACTTTAAAAAGTGTTCCGGAAGTGTATGTCATAAAATTCATCGATTTCCCGTTATTAAGGTTTGAATACTTAGATTTAGATACTTGCCGAAAAAAATATATGTACGTACAATTACCTATAGCTCACTTTGAATTAAAATTAGAAGGTTTTTCAAAGTAGGCGTTTGTTTGTTTTTTTATCAGCTTCAATTTTGGTACTAATATTTTTTTTGTAAAACTCATAGTTTTTGAGTTATTTATGAAAAACCGCTTAAAACATGTATTTTTATCACGCAAAATCACAATCTTTGATCTTTAATAACTCCGAAAGTATTGATTTATTCCGAAAACTTAATATAACAAATTTTGCTTAGAATTTGTCTTTCTATCGATTCCTGGAGTTATTTTTATTAAAATAATTTTCACCCCCGAGAAGGGGTGGTATCGACCCTCAATGCAAAAGCGCAAGTTGGCACTACGTCACTTTTGTTTCTTATGGTATCCTCCACCTACTTACCAATTTTCTTGAAAATCGATGGAGGTTCAACGAAATCGGTTGATTTTTGCCTTCATTGACTGTACCATTATGAAAACAAAGATTTAACTACTTTCTTTGATACTGTTACATGTGTTTAGTACTAACTCATTATGATTGATTTTATGGTAATTTAATGTCTGACATGCTACCTACTCTTAAAGTGCCAACTATTAGGGAGTTTACCCTATATTCTAATGTTTTCTTGACTTATAACTATTAATTTTATTCAAAATGATTACATGAAATTGCAACGATATAGCCAACGGTTGTACCTACTGTTGTTGTACAATCGTCATTGTTTAAATTGATTTTTGATTTATTTATTGTGTCTGGTACGATTTTATTGTATAAATGAAAGTTTTTTTTCCCGACAGTTCCAAATTTGAATTTTTGTCAAATAATACTTTGGAACAATGTAAGGAACAACTAGAACAACTTGGAACAACTATAAAAATAATGCATTTCCAAACATAGGGGGCTATCTGAAAAACGGTTTTTTTTGTCTGACAGATTTAAATTTAAGTTTTTGCAAATAATACTTTGGAACAATGTTAGGAACAACTAGAACAACTTGGAACAACTAAAAAAATAATGAATTTCCAAACATGGGGGCTACCATAAAATGGTTTTTTTTTTTGTCTAGCAGCTTCAAATTTTAGTTTTTTCAAATAATACTTTGGAACAATGTTAGGAACAACTAGAACCACTTGGAACAACTAAAAAAATATTGAATTTCCAAACATGGGCGGCTACCATAAAAAAGATTTTTTTGTCTGGCAGCTTCAAATTTGAGTTTTTTCAAATAATACTTTGGAACAATGTAGAACAAACATAGAACAACCTAGATAATAATAAAATTCAAAAAGTGGGGGGCTAACTTCACAGAGGTAATAAAATAGCTTAAAAGATCTAATATTAAACTATATGTCTGGATATATTTTTTTATTTGTTAAATTAAATATTATAATGATAATCGGCAATGCAGAAAAAACTTTAAAAGAGTAGATAGCCCAAGTGGTCTCATGAAGAAAAATATTGGGCGTAATGGGCCTAGTCAGGGCCGTATTTAAGATAGGGCAGCAGCGATTACAAATAGGGCATAAGCAGGGGCGTGTCGGCCCCTGGGTTTCCTGCCGGCTTCGAAGAACGCTGCCTTGCAGCCAAGGACACTCGGGAGAATGTTCTTCATGTCCATAAGGTCTCGGTAGCATGGAGGTTCGTGCATCATCCGCTCTGAACAGTGCGAACGAGGCGCCTTTGACGAAAAAAACCCAGGGTACACCCAGTTATCTTGGGAGTAACTGAGTGAAGAAATAATTGCCCTGGATAGAACTAGGTGGACCATGGGCAGAGACAGTACGCACTTTAAAAACCTCGGTCACTAGAGCGTGTCGAGTTTTCGATGCAGGAGTATTGGTCTGTGGGTTTGAGTCTGCAGGGCCCTGCTCATTTTGTCAAACCCTTAAGCTAACGAAATGGGTAAGGAAGGAGTCCTTATTGCAAACCTCGGTGGTGAGAAAGGCATCACGACTTTCCCAGACATTGAAATAGTACTACGAATAAGAGCCGCCCACTCATTTATATATAAATTGAGTGGGCGTTAAATTAATCGAATTTAGTATTTTCATATTTCGACATGGGTGTCGATTCTGACAGGATTCTCTAAACTTAAAACTAAATTTAAGATCAGTCTGTCCTTTTCATTCTGTATAGAGAACGACAGGGATACACTGTTGTCAAAAAGTTTAGCTTTAGAGAATCATGCCAGAATCGACACCATGGTTTATGAAACCAATTATTTGGAACAATCTATACTAATATTATAAAGCTGCAGAGTTTGTTTGTTTGAACGCGCTAATCTCTGGAACTACTGGTCCGATTTGAATGATTCTTTCAGTGTTGGGTAGTCCATTTATCGAGGAAGGCTATAGGCTATATATTATTTTTCTCAAAATTGGGATCCGTAATAAAATTGCTATTTTGTAACACAAGGTGTAAAAACGAAAACCTATTGTTGCGTGCGCTGCAAAAACTATTGACAATAGAACAAAATAATGTACTACGGGTTTGTAGATCCCATTAAGACTTACAAAAAAGTCCGCGAGAACATATATCTAGCTATCATGGTTTAATCACAATAACCGATTTTGTGTTCAAAATAATTATTAAATCGTCTGAAGAAAAAAAAAACCACGTTAAATATGTATCGTAATATTAATCTTTATCGAAATTAAGCATTATGTTATCAAGAGTATTTATGTAGAAGTAAAATACTTTATGTTTCATCTCAATCGGGTTTTTTCGTTTAAAAGTTATCACGTGTGTAAGATGTTAAGAGTTGGTACCTATTAATAATTTATGGGCCATAATTTTTTATCAACATAAAATCCTGTTATAATCTTTTTCGTAATATATTTGTTAATGATTGTAAGTATAAGATCTTTGAAGAGTATAATAAATACATTTCTAAAATAACTCTGCTAAGGAAATCCACGCGCGCTTGATGCAAGCAAGACAAGACGCTGGCGGCGCGCGCGGCGGCGGGCGAGACGAGGAGGCGGAGCTTGCTGGCCGCCTGTCGCTCTTATTTATTGAAAGAAATTGAAAAAAATATTTTATTGAAAGTACACGGTTTAAGGGTGCACTAAGAAAGTCGCGAAAGCGCGCGCTTTTTGATTTGATATAGAACATAATGTTCAAAGGGCTTATTCCTTTTGTAGTAGGTTTTATTTCTTTTTTTATTAATATAAGGTGAGGTTTTCAAATGTTACACATCATACGCGACTACTGTAAGGCTCGCTCGTTTTTTACTATAAGTTAAGTCGGAGAGGGTTAAACTACGCATCATCCTCCGTCAGGCTTTCATAAAAAACACCTTATGTTTCAATAACCTTTTAATTATTTAAATAACACACAATACGATGAGAAGACAACAATTATTTATAACAAGTTTACCTATTACAATCAACATAACATCTAATTAGTTGCGTCCATAATTTATTTAAATAAAAGTAGATGAGTACACCTAATACTTACTTTTTGATGTGTGACATCTTTCCTCTCGCTTTCCTGCAATTTGTGGGAGTAATTAGTGATTTCGTGAAATGGGACGGAAGTGTGTAACAGGAAGTCGTGAAAGCGCGCGCTATTTGATTTGATTTTTGAACATAATGTTCAAATGACTTGTTCCTTTTGTAGTAGGTTTTATTTCTTTTTTTAATAATGTGAGCTTTCAAATTTTACACATCATACGAGACTACTGTACCTAAGGCTTGCTCGTTTTCATAACCGGTTATCTGTTTTTATTCTTAACTAGTGGCCCGCCCTCGCTACGCTTCGGTGTAGAGCTATATAGAATTCGAAATGTTCTCACCTTTTAAATCTTCCCTAGACCTCCACAAACATTTCAAGACCAAGATAAGATAAATCCGTTCAGCCGTTCTCGAGTTTTAGCGAGACTAACGAACAGCAATTGATTTTTATTTAAATGGATAATAAAAAAAAGAATGTACATAGTAAAAGTTGGTGAGGTTGTATGAAATCACTATGCAAATTAAACATTTAAAATCATTAATAAAAACGAGCGAGCCTTACAGTAGTCGCGTATGGTGTGTAACATTTGAAATCTCACCTTAAATTAGTAAAAAAAGAAATAAAACGTACTACAAAAGGAATAAGCCATTTGAACATTATGTTCTAAAATCAAATCAATAAGCGCGCTTTCACGACTTCCTGTTACACACTTCCGTCTCATTTCACAAAATCACTAATCATTCCCACAAATTGCAGGAAAGCGAGAGGAAAGATGTTACACATCAAAAAGTCCTTCCTCGGCTGGGAATCGAACCGCCCGCGTAGCAGGCGAGCTTTCTATCATTGAACCACCGATGCTTGTCGATGACCAAAATTTTTCAATTACAATTAAAAATGTAATGCGACTTTCTAAAGATGAACACCACCTACTTAAAAAAAAAAAACTAAAACAGTTTTGGAGAAGCGGATGTATAGTAACTGCACTACGTATAGCAAAACCGATCACTACCCTCCTATCTGTTGTATAATAAAGGTACAGTACAGTGCAACCAGGATTTCCCTACTTGGTCTAAGGGTAGGTACCTAAAATATACCTGTGAGTCAGCCATTGAGTACTTTTTTTTATATAAATTCAACGGAACGTACCCTCGCTCTGGTGTCCATTCCTCCGAGTATTCACCATGAGACATTGTGATGAAGTTAGTAGTAGTACTACATTGACATTAATACTTAACTTAATCAATACTTAAAATAATAGTGAGTCATCAACATACAAGTTGGCCAAGTCTAAATACGTTATCCATCCATGACATCATAACACATAGAGCAACGCGGCCAGGAGGGGAGTCGGCATTTACAGCGTTCCCCTCTGTCGATTTTCCTCCACCGTTGGGCCAGCTCACGAACAAAACAAAGGACATTGGGCAAAAATGTATGGACACTGCACCCACGTCCGCCACGGCTTAAACTACATTTGTTTGAAAGGTATTATAGTCAAGATCATCTGTGCCAAAGCGCATCAAATTCTATCCCGGGGGTCTTTAGTTATTTTAAGTTAAATATGTAGAAGTACTATAACGAACGAACATTAATGAAACAAGGGAATTAATTTAGTTACTTAGTTCAACCCTACATAGGGTGCTCAGGAATTATGGGAATACTTCATAAGGTGCAAGGGTGCCCCCTTATGTTATTCTGCCGCGCTAGAGTAAATCCAAAAATCCCCGCATGGATTGGGTTTTTTTAAACATGCTGTGGGTTATAGTAAATTGTCTTATATGTAAAACGGGGCGACCACAGATTACACAAACTTGTCCACGCTTCGGAGAACGCATAATTCCAGTTTATCCATACTAATTGACAAAACTGATAATCATGTTCCAATATCCAAAGCGTGTTAGATAAAAATCAATCAAGTAGCAGGGAGCGCACAATCAGAACGAAGTAAGACGAGTGGACTATTTGCAACTGTAAGATCTTCAGCATTCGTAAACCGTTTTGAAATGTCTCAGTAAGAGCAAGCGCAGGATGGTCGGCAGGCTTTGTCGTATATCTGGTTGTATAGTACGATATGGCATATTATTATGATTACTAATAATATAAAATGAATTTATTCAGCTACTTAAATATGCCCATGTATCATATCTATTGACTACCAGGATAATTTTTACGGTGTCATATCTTTTGACTCCCAGGATATTTATTTTCGGTGTATAATAAAAAAGGCTAGTTTTTCATAGATATATCGATTCATACTAATTACATTGTTGGCGGAGCTGGGTGCGTTTTGCCCATTGTCCTTTGCACTCGGATATTTCACTAGACTGAGTCAGGTCACTCGAGTGTATGTTACAGATCAAAAATGCCAAAATGTTATGTAATTTGCTGTAAAACATATCTGGAATATTAAACTTACAAAAGGATGGTGTTAAATTTCACATATAAGTAGAATTATTAACATATTATTTATATTTAAACACAAAATGTATATTATTTTGTTAAAATTCAATCGTCGGACCTGTTTGACAAAACATACAATCGACTCGCCATCCAGTAGATGTGTCAATAAAAAATCTCAGTACATCTATGCCCGATTTAGCGTTGTCATTTTTTATGTGCGAGTGTCGTAATTACAATTTCGTTTTTGCGAAAGTATGTTGGACTGCATTTGTGTGCATATTCCTCCCCCCGCAGAAACGGCAGAATTATTTCAAAGGCTACTCCCCCTAGCCGCGTCGTCTGTGTTGCTCTATGTCATAACATAGTAGTACCAAATTCCCAAAAAAATTTACATACTTACTTGTGCTTACTTCATAATTTTTAAACACAATAACTATTCCGAATGGGTCTGTTTTTATTACAAAGATGCAAGTAAGTAATTTATGGAATTATTTCCGTTATGATACCTTGAAAAGCTTTGGTTTCGCTTACCTACCATAATATTCGAATTATGTATTTTAAATGTATGAAGTAACAATATTCAAAATCTAGTTTAACTAAAAAATAAAACTTAAACATAGGGTAATAAAATCTACAGTAAGCAAACTTTGTTTTGGTGCTGAACATAGATTAATAAATACAACAAATCTATGGCGCCCTCTGTCTATATAGAATTATAAACGGGCGTCGTGTTTCCTCAATGTAAAATTTTATTACGCTATGCTAATGCCCAAAAATCAATACAAAGCTATGACAAAAACTTATTACAAAATCAAACAATCAATTGAAGGTTGAATGTTCGATTACAATTATATTATGCAATAAAACTATCCGAATACTAACCACAACATTTAACATTTAATTTATTCACATATACATCCTAACAAGCAAACACCAACACTTAAATAACTGTAATGCAATAAGCAAAATAATAAAAAATATAAATAACATCAATATGAATCACAATTTTTCTAACAGAAATAAGAATTAACTAAACTAGTAAATATAGACATCAAATTAGAGAATCCATTTTTTGTACATATTATATGTATTATTTAACGAAAACATTAAGAATCAAACAAACACCTTCAGAAGGTAAGAATATTGCCTGCAAAACTGCATGATTATCAAGGGTCATATGCGTTTTTACCTTTTTTACCGCGCTTGAAGCCACCATCTAGTAGACAGAATAGCATCATAACAACATTAATGATAGTGGAAAATTTTACCGACCCAGTTAGGTAATTGACCTGACCCCACAATGCTTATGGAATGGTTATCCCACACTAAATGATACAAAATGATATTGAGGAATGGTAAAGTTAAAATCACAATCTGTGCAGAGATGTTAGTAACATCAAATCAGAAATCAATATATCTTTATTCAAATGGGATGTATAGTACAACACTTTTGAATCATCCAAACATTTTTTTTCCCTACCACTAGTTATTGGACATATTTTTTAGCTGCGGAGAAAAACGAGGGAAAAAAACTCCACAACATTAAAAGCATAATGTAACAACATTTACAAATCATTATGTTGTTTATTTACATCATCTCTGCACAGATTGATTATGCATTAAAAACAAAATTTTAAATAAAAGAAATATCACATTTATTGGTCTCATCCCAAGGTTTGTTTATGGTTAATAGCTCTATTGCTACAAAATGAGGAAACCACTACAAGGCATGTAGATAAATTGTTTTCAGACTGGTAATCATATCACCCAGTCATCTCCCAGCTAAGGAGGTTGTTGAACTTTTAATACTTTTTACTTAAATGCAAGAGTTTATAAAATAAGTCCTTAAAAACAATAAATTTTTAAGTTTTTATGTAAGTTACAAAGTATTAGTCAAGGAAGATTATTAATTTTGTTTGGCAGCTATAGCAGCGCGTTCATTAACATCAATTGTAGCTAAGTTCAAAGAAGCGACGCCCATATGCAAGATAGTGATCATTGTCTTTACTACAGCCACAGGAAGACACACAAGTGCTATCAGCTTGTAAAGGCCCATCCCCAACACTGTAAAGAGTAATATGATTATTCAAATATATTCATACAATGTTAAGATGATTATGGAGCCTTAGGCCATATACAGAAAGAAAGCCGAAAGCCAATCAGCGCTGATTCTTACTACATAAAGGCAGCCGGTTAAAGCAGAGTATGCAAAATGTCCGACTCATCGGATGATGATATGGTTTTGTTAGAAATTGTGTATTTAAAAATGCGAAAAAAAGGTATACATCCTATCAATAGAGAAAGAAAACGTTTCGGAAAATACCATCATTTATTTGAAAAAAATTGAAAAAAGATTTTATACATATAGAAGAATGACCCAAGAAACATTTTATTACATTTTGGATTTAGTGAAAAACTGTTTGATGAAAAATTGGTGTTATTGGCATAAACAAGCAATCCTTCCAGAAGAAAGACTTCTTGTCACTATTCGGTAAGTAGGAAACTTAGTTAATAAAAGATAAAGTTATTAGATTTATAAAAAGATTATAACTAAGATTGATATAATCTAAGAATAATAATACAAATCATTTATTATTCCGACAACATAGATCATAATGACCAGCGCATGTCGACATTTGTCGGCGCTTATCGGCGCTGGTCCATAGAAAAAGGATCACCGCCTGTAAGCGCCGATAAGCGCTGATCGGCTTTCCGCTTTCTTTCTGTATACGGCCTTATTTATAATTCCCTAAATTTATATAGATCCTTATAAATTGGTGCAGTCCCTACTAACCCTAATCATAAATGCTTATATAATATACACCCATAAAATGGTATTAATGAACACCTGAAAAACTGTGCCGTTTTAATAATTTATTGTTGATGCACACATGGCAATTTTAAAGTGATGTTGCGTCACTGTGTGTTTTTTACTATCTCTATACTGGAGTCTTCAGAGTAATTATTCAAATTCCTTCACTGCATCACATGCTGCAGGGAGAAGTTTCACCCCACCATCTGGATGCTTGGTGTTCTAGCACCCCTACCTCAGCAGTTTTCCCACTTAGCTCTGATTTGTCAGTCTTCAACAGGCAAATAAACCTTTTCCTTCAGAGCCAGCAACTCATGAGTGATACCCTTGGTGATGCAAGTGTCCATGTGACCACTTACCATCAGGTGGACTGCCAGCTCATTTGTCTTATCATCATCAGCCTATTAATGTCCCCACTGCTGGGGCACAAGCCTTCCCAATGGATGGAATAGGGAGATTGGCCCATGACCCACCATGCAGGTCCAGTGCAGATTGGCGGGTGCTAACAACTGCAGATGGACCAACGGCTTAACGTGCCTTCAGAAGCACAGACGAGCTGAAGATAAAAGATTTTTGGTCACCCATCCAATGAACGACCACTGCGTATATTCATATTCATAATATGCATTAGAAGATAAGCAACTTTTGCAGTGGTCGGTCATTGGATGGGTGACCAAAAATCTTTTATCTTGCTCATATTTACATTATGAATATGAATATGAGCGTGAACCACCCGTGCCATCAAGCATTTCACTTGTCTACATAAATATAAAAAACAAATTACCCATGGGTCCAGTGTAGAAATACATCACATATAGAGCTGCATAGAATGCCTCATTGCCAGCGCACATGGAGAAAAGAACAGTCCTATTAGTGTAGTAGAGGTGCATAATTGGGTTCTCCGACATATCTATAAACTTATGTGAGGCTTTTCCTTGAAGAGTGGTAGTGTGGAGATAAAGCCAGTGTCCAGTTATATCAATGGCCATAGACAGTTGGAACCATAGCAAGTACTGTGGGTAAAAAGTACCCAAGGTCATCATGAGACAGGAAGTGCCCGCACGATCTGTAAGTTGGTCCAACATAGCACCAAACTTAGTACCTGAAACAGTTCAAGTTTATTCTAGCAGTTTAAACTAAAATGAACTTCATGATCTTGTAGAAAAGATTTCTTGAAAGTCAAAAAAAAAGAGGAATCAAGTTGATACTGGAGACCCCACATTTTTAATGCTAAATTCATGAATATTTTGGTCACAATATAAACGAAAAGTTGGCAAGTATAAAGCTGCATTTGTAAGGGTAAAAACATATCTTTATAATTTAATTAGTACTAATTATCAGATACCTTACAACATCACTTACTTTGGTTAAAATATCTTGCAGCATGGCCATCAAACGCATCAAGTAAGGCAGAGGTAATGTAGCACGTACATGCCACCACGCAGTGTGTAGGCATAAAATATAGCGATATGATCAATAGGATAACTCTAGCGAAGCCTGTAACATAAAATTTGCAGTAAACAATATCAACTACAGTAAACAGAGTCAAAGCCGAATTTATTACTCACCAATAAGATTAGGGACGAAAATGAAAATGTTTTCTTTAGATTCAGACATTGTTTAAATATGCCAGTTGATTAAATACTCGTCAAATGATGAAAGAATAAAATTATTCCAAATTTTATGGTGAATTCGACGCAACGAAAGGGAAACTTGCTAGTATTTTTTTTTTTAATTTATTGGCAATGGATACATTGTCCTTATGCCTAACTTGCTTGTAAAATTAGGTACGTACGTAGGTAGAGATGGAAAAAACAGCTTATTTTATATACGTTTAAACGTTGTACTTTTTAAAATAAGCGCGCTTGAAAAAAAGCTTTTTCGTTTAAACGCTTATTGGCTTAAACGTTTAAAAGCATGCGTAAAAAGCGCGACGTTGTGTTGTGTTTTCGTTTAGGTATATCGTTTAAAAAAGCGTGAAAAGTTTATTGTCGTTTTTAATGTGTTTAAGTGTTTTATTGCGTTTTTTCTTCTTATTAATGAAATTTTTATTAAAAAGTTTTTTTAAACCTAATGAATTGATTGGCATTAAAAACGAAAGATTTTCGATTGAATTTAGATTTTATAATAAACATTTTTATAATAGTCAATGAACTTTCCTTCGAACTTTACAAGCTTAGGACTGTCTGGAGTTAATATACTCGTGATCCAGGCGTACTTAAAACTTCATTGATTTTATATACATACTGGTCCCGATTCTGGCGTGATTCTCTAAACTTAAAACTAAATTTAACATCAGTTTCTCCTTTTCGTTCTGTATAGAGAATGACAAGGATATACTGCTGTTAAATTTAAGTTTAGGTTTAGAGAATCATGCTAGAATCGACACCACTTTTAACTATTTTATATGCACATTAAACCAATACACGAAACGCATTTACACAAGGAAGCATGCAAACACACCGTACAACACCCACGCGCTCTTACCCCGTCACAGTGACAAGCGTACTGCTTTTCGACTTCGTTTGATAAAACGCTTTTAATGAAAAAAGCGTTGGTTATCCGACCAAATTTTAAAAAAGTGCATTTTTTACGTCGCATTATAATAATTCGCATGCTGTATTAACCGGCTCACGAAAGATGGCACGCCGACGCGGCGCTGAAGTCGCGCGTTCTATGGCTGTGATATTGTGAAATATTTAGTTCCAAGGAATTCCGCGTACCCATTTTTCGATACTGTAGTGGACTAGAAGGATCGAAGTATGTAGTTTCCTGGTAAAGACATAGATGGCGGGATTTGCACTTTTTAAGTAAAAAATATACTTATAATTTTTATTATTTTTTAAAGCATGTAACTGCTTGATGTTTAAATCTAAAGAAAATATAACTAGAAAAAATTCCACGCGGACCAGGCAGCAGACGGGACTCGAACCCGCACCCTTCGCAATCCGGGCGAATGCACTGACCAATTATGCTACCGCGGCCCTCACGGACCGCGTCGAAATTCTTTCTAGCTATTCTTAAGCTGCAAGGCAGCGCCATCTCTTCGCATTATAGGTAAACCCACAATGTCAAATGAATACTTTTACAAGTATTAAACATTTGAAAGAAGAAATAGCAATTATAGTTATAATTTTTATTATTTTTTAAAGCATGTAACTGCTTGATGTTTAAATCTAAAGAAAATATAACTAGAAAAAATTCCACGCGGACCAGGCAGCAGACGGGACTCAAACCCGTCATATATGCCCGTCGTATAATGCGAAGAGATGGCGCTGCCTTGCAGCTTAAGAATAGCTAGAAAGAATTTCGACGCGGTCCGTGAGGGCCGCGGTAGCATAATTGGTCAGTGCATTCGCCCGGATTGCGAAGGGTGCGGGTTCGAGTCCCGTCTGCTGCCTGGTCCGCGTGGAATTTTTTCTAGTTATATTTTCTTTAGATTTAAACATCAAGCAGTTACATGCTTTAAAAAATAATAAAAATTTTAACTATAATTGCTATTTCTTCTTTCAAATGTTTAATACTTGTAAAAGTATTCATTTGACATTGTGGGTTTACCTATAATGCGAAGAGATGGCGCTGCCTTGCAGCTTAAGAATAGCTAGAAAGAATTTCGACGCGGTCCGTGAGGGCCGCGGTAGCATAATTGGTCAGTGCATTCGCCCGGATTGCGAAGGGTGCGGGTTCGAGTCCCGTCTGCTGCCTGGTCCGCGTGGAATTTTTTCTAGTTATATTTTCTTTAAAAATATACTTGCACTTTTTTAAGTGAAAAGCTTACTCACACTTTTAAGTGAAAAGCTTATAACGCTTATACTTAAAAGCGTGCTTACAAGCTTAATATTTTAAGCGCGCTTATTTAAGCGCTTTTCGTTTAAACGCCCACCGCTATACGTAAGTAGGGAGGATGCCCCATCCCCCTTCTGATTCAAACTATTCGAAAATCGATTCACATATATATGATCTTTTAATAGGCTAGTTGACTCATGTCGAATTGTATTAAATAAATGTTTATATCTTAAAGTATTTGGTCTAAGGAACCTAAAGATATCGATTTCACTTCATAAAAGCAGAAGATTGCTGTAGAAATTTAAATAAAATGATGTGGTGTCGTAGGACACCAGGTAGGAACGAAGTTCCTTCGGCTAATGCGCATTTAACGGTTTTATTCCACGCACTTTTTTCCACAGATTTTTTCTTACGGTTTTACTATCACATTTTTTTCAGTTCGGTCGCGCAGAGCAAAATCCCTATCCCCTCCAAGCCTGCCTTAATGTGAGTATTCGCCACGTGCTTGTCCATGAATTCATGAGTATATACTATGCATTGGCGGGGTGCACCCCCCCGGGTGGAGTGGTAATAGAAAGAGAAGGGATGAGAGAACGAAAAGAAAGAGGGAGAAAGAGAAAGGTATTATACACTACTCGCTTGTGTATGCGACTGTCGCGCCTGCGCACGTCTCATTTAACGGTTTTATTCCACGCACTTTTTTCCACGGATTTTTTCTTACGGTTTTACTATCACATTTTTTTTAGTTCGGTCGCACAGCAAAATTCCTATCCCCTCCAAGCCTACCGTAAGGAACTTCGTTCCAAAAATATTTTTTAGTCTATAACACTAAAAACGCTGTTCGCCACATCCATGATTGTTACGTCTCTTGTTGTAGTAAACAACTAAATGTCATTTTACAGAGCTTTACTATAGAAATGGGTACGGCCACTGTGGCCGTTGCTTGCGCCGGTTACCGGTAAGGACCAGCGCTGGCAAGCGGTGATCGACTTCCAGATTTCTTTCTGTATACGGCCCCACCGTAGAGAGACAAGTAGGTATTCTAAACCTTCACTCCAAGTGCAACAAATGTCAAATTCGACAAAGTTGAGACTTAAACCGGATTTATATTTGTCAGTCATGTTGTGTCGTGATCGTGACTCTTCAGAGCAGGGGCCCAATTCTCGCGGCGTAGATATTATATCGGCTTCGAGATAATATCGAAAGTAGGGATATCTATTGAAAATATCTACTGATGGTAAAAAATGCTATTCTCGTGGATTTTCGATATTCCAATGATATTATATCTATCGTAGATATTCTTTCTCTGCCGAATGCGTTCCGTTTTTCTCGATTAAGTTAACATCATAGTCTATACAAAATAATAATAAATTAGAGCAGAATTTTACAAGCAACAAAATGATATTTTATGAATTCCATTCATATTAAATATGAGTATATATTTTTTGAGTATAAGAAATCTCAACTTTACCTAAATTGTATGCGTATATAATTTCACCGATAAGTATAATGAAACGTCAATATTATTTAAGATTCTCCCTTTTCAGGGAAGGCAAAGGGAACAATGCCCATAAAGCCTAGTTTTTAGTTATATTAATCTCCTTTTTTTTTACATACGAATGTCGGTGTGACGCATTCTAATGTTTCTTGGAGTGTTTGGCACGAAATTTATGGAGTTGGCTTTTTCTCTAAGCTTCTGTGAGGTATTCAATACTACAATAAAGTTCTCGCGTCCACTTCACCGGAATAGCGAATATTTTAAAGATTTCACTAATTCTTCAGTTGCGCAGACGGTTGTAACACCAAATCATACCAATTTTATTTCACAATATCCACTATAAACGAATTTTAGAATAATTAAAATAAGATACCAACCGCACTCTCAAAAATCCCGCCAAAACTCCGTATCGTCAATAAGAAAATGGTGTTGATTGTGGCATGATTCTCTAAACCTAAACGTAAATTTGACAACAGTGTATCCTTGTCATTCTCCATACAGAATGAAAAGGAGAGACTCATGTTAAATTTAGTTCTAAGTTTAGAGAATCGTGTCAGAATCGATACCAATGTCATTCATAACTATAAAGATTTCTAACCAAATTTTTGTTTAAACGTAATTTTTTTATGAAGTCGGCGTCCCTCATTTCAAATGGACCCTCTTGCTCTCACAACGGCGGCACCTTAGCACAGCAGCAGCAATCACGTCATTTATTAAATCATTGACGAATACTTGAATCAACTCATCCATCGTTAATATAAACTGGTGTCGATTCTGGGGCCCAATTCTCGCGGCATAGATATTATGTCACCTTCGATATATATCGAATGATCTGGCTTTTATCGAAGGAAAACCTTTTTGCCCTATTCTCACCATGTCGCAATAGATATTTATCTACGGATGATCAGTAGACATACATCGACTGGTAAAGAGCCTTCGATATATAAATATCTATGGATCTTGGCATGTCAATCTTGTTATTTCCACTTTTTTACCTATTATTTATTGTGTTGTCGTGTGTCTTTGCCAGTTATTGTTACCTCAAGATGTTGTTAACTGCCTTCATAAATAATTAGTAAATAAAGAAGTAGGTAAACAATGGTGTCGATTCCGGCGTGATTCTCTAAACTTAAAACTAAATTTATTATCAGTCTCTCTTTTTCATTCTGTATAGAGAATGACAAGGAAACACTGTTGTCAAGTTTAAGTTTAGATTTAGAGAATCGTGCCAGAATCGACACCAGTTTATATTAACGATGGATGAGTTGATTCATGTTTTCGTCAATGATTTAATAAATGACGTGATTGCTGCTGCTGTGCTAAGGCGCCGCCGTTGTGAGAGCAAGAGGGATCATTTGAAATGAGGCACGCCGACTTCATAAAAAAAATACGTTTAAACAAAAAATTGGTTAGTAATCTTTAAAGTTATGAATGACATTGTTATCGATTCTGACACGGTTCTCTAAACTTAAAACTAAATTTAACATCAGTCTCTCCTTTTCATTCTGTATGGAGAATGACAAGGATACACTGTTGTAAAATTTACGTTTAGGTTTAGAGAATCATGCCAGAATCGACACCATTTTCTTATTGACGATACGGAGTTTTGGCGGGATTTCTGCGAGTGCGGTTGGCATCTTATTTTAATTATTCTAAAATTCGTTCATAGTGGATATTGTGAAAAAATATTGGTGTGATTTGGTGTTACAACCGTCTGCGCAACTAAAGAATTAGTGGAATCTTTAAAATATACGCTATTTCGGTCAAGTGGACGCGAGAACTGCATTGTAGTGTTGACTACCTCACAGAAGCTTAGAGAAAAAGCTGACTCCATAAATTTCGTGCCAAACACTCCAAGAAACATTAGAATGCGTCACACCGACATTCGAATGTAATAAAAAGAAGATTAATATAACTAAAGACTAGGCTTTATGGGCATTGTTCCCTTTGCCTTCCCTGAAAAGGGAGAATTTTAAATAATATTGACGTTTCATTATACATAACGTTGAAATTATATACGCATACAATTTAGGTAAAGTTGAGATTTCTTATACTCAAAAAATGTTTTAAAATGTTTTAAAAAATTTAATATGAATGGAATTCATAAAATATCATTTTGTTGCTTGTAAAATTCTGCTCTAATTTATTATTTATTTATATAGACTATGATGTTAACTTAATCGAGAAAAACGGAACGCATTCGGCAGTGAAAGAATATCTACGATAGATATAATATCATTGGAATATCGAAAATCCACGAGAATAGCATTTTTTACCATCAGTAGATATTTTCAATAGATATCCCTACTTTCGATATTATCTCGAAGCCGATATAATATCTACGCCGCGAGAATTGGGCCCCTGGCACGATTCTCTAAATCTTAACTTAAACTTGACAACAGTGTTTCCTTGTCATTCTCTATACAGAATGAAAAAGAGAGACTGATGTAAAATTTAGTTTTAAGTTTAGAGAATCACGCCAGAATCGACACCATTATTTACCTACTTCTTTATTTACTAATTATTTATGAAGGCAGATAACAACATCTTGAGGTAACAATAATTGGCAAAGACACACGACAACACAATAAATAATGGGTAAAAAAAATGGAAATAACAAGATTGACATGCCAAGATCCATAGATATTTTTATATCGAAGGCTCTTTACCAGTCGATGTATGTCTACTGATCATCCGTAGATAAATATCTATTGCGACATGGTGAGAATAGGGCAAAAAGGTTTTCCTTCGATAAAAGCCAGATCATTCGATATATATCGAAGGTGATATAATATCTATGCCGCGAGAATAGGGAAGATGCAATATTTTTATTTTTGTTTTCATTTTAAAGAATTCCATGTAGAATAAACCACAGATATATTAAAAAATTGAAACATTGTGATTTATCGGAAAAAATGCGGTTTTAAATTGACAATTTAAATTTTCGCGCGAAAACGAACCTATGGTTGCGATGACGTCACTCCTGTCTGTCACTGGTCGTAATTGTTCGTTGCTGGCTTTAAATTTTCATACTTACTTTTGCATATTTTTTCGACTTTCGAAATATTTTTTTGAAAAATTTAAAATGGACTATCCATCGACATCATGTGATCATAACAATACCACTAATATTCCGAAAAAAAGCCGTGTTGACTCATGTTTTGTGCCAATCTACTTCAACAAAGTTCCCAAATAAATTGTTTTTGACTGGAACTTCTGACCCAAAACTGAAAAAAAAGTGGTTTCAAGCTGCGAAGAGAATGACAATTATTCTCCAAAGACCATTATTCGATGTTGAGAAGATCACTTTGACGTAAGTCGGCGAATATACTTGTTATATGCTTAATTAATCTGCTTGTACGTAAACCTACCTAATACTTTCAAAACCTGTCTATAACATATTTTTAATTTTATAGTTGGAGAATGACGTCGAAAATTAGATAAAGTTTAAAATGTGTGGCACAATATTCACATTGGCAGGACTGAACCAAGCTTTGCGTTTCATTTAAAATAACTGTAACACGATAACCATCTTTACGTACTTTATGCTCCGGAGAACTCGACCTTTTACTGTACATAATTTTCCATCTCTTTTAATTTGGACATAGCCGATTGCATTATCGCCGTAAAATTTGTAGAAGCCGCTGAATAAAATACGAAGTTTAACATTTACGATTTTTACATACCGTAGTAATTTGTTCCCTTTCATTTCTACACTTAAAAACTCTGCACTTTGGACAAAAAAAGTTATAACCATGTCAACGCTAACTCTTGGTAAATTCTGGAGTCTGCTTTGATAAACGCAACTTTCATTTTTATTAAATGTAAAAAAACGCAATAAATATTCCCATAAAATAATATTTACTATAACAACCATAACCTCAAAGAAGTTGTCATAACAGAAGTGACGTCACTAAACGCTGATTGGTGTTTTAAAATACGTTCCGTTTCAAGTATTTTTAATTCGTAATAATTGTTAAAAAACAACATTATGTAAAATAAAAACGTTGCAGTGGCATTTCTTTTATATTTTTTTAACATTTTAATGATAAAATTTTCATAAATATTATATATGCATCTTCCCTATTGGGCCCTAGTATCGGTTTATACGTAGACTATATCTATGGTCACAACACAACACAGCCGACAAATAAGTGTAGTTCTGCCGTAACTCTTCTCTATGGCCTAGAGCAAGTCTAGAGGTTACACCGCTAGAGGGCGCCGTTGTGTGTCGCAAAAATGTTAAAATCTCTTGAAAATGATAAATACAGTTTTACAAAATGTTAGAACATTAGTTATGTTGTAAAAATAGCGTAACATTATGATTTATTAGGTAGGTGGTGTTAATTTTATAAAGTACGGGGTGAATAGTGGTTTCAGTGTATAAAAGTCGTAAGACTTGTGTCATCTGATTGCTGTTCCTTCAAGATGGCTCCTCCGCCGGAATATGATAAGGAACCGAAAGCCCCGGATAAAACTGCCCCAGTAATCATTAATGAAGACACAAAATTAATCAACAGTTTAAACGACCAACAAACAAAATCGGATCACAAAACGACCAATACTGCCACCAACAGTGAAGGCGAGGTAAGTAAATCAAAGCTGCCATTTTTTCTATGTAACATTGTTCGGTCTATTTATTTGCTGTCTTTAGCTACAAGTGTAATCTTAAGTATTGTTTATAGGTTGATATCTATTTGTTATATATGATTTTACGTAAAGAGATCGCGCGGTGAGAATGAACAGAAACTTATGTGAAAAATGAAACAAAAGTATATTCTGTTTTTTTTTTGGTATTTTTTTTTCTAGTAATCTACTCTAGATCTATTATTTGCTCTGCGTACTCTAGATGTATTATGTGTAGAAAACTTATTATGGCTTGTAAGTGTTTCAGTGTTTTTTAGTAACTCCTACCCTTAATTTACTTTAGACATAAAATATGCTACCTCGTCTTTTTATTTAATCTATCGCAAATCTGATACAAACACATGTTTTTACTGATATGGCTCTTGTAGTTCATGATTTATTTCAGCTTAATGAATGGCAATGAAAATATTTAAGTATTTTAACTAAAGATTCTGAATCTTTGTTAATATTGCTATACTAAAGTTAATGATTCTGTTCATTACATTTCCTAATTATATATCATTTTAAATTATTTAATTTATATTTAATTCAATCATATTAAATTCACCTTTTATAAAATTTTTAGTAATCCATCCTATTCATTATTATCCTCTGCATCTTGATCTTATTACAAAACTACAAAAGAAAATATTAAAAAAAACCTATTAAAAACTAATTAGCTATACTCGATTTTCAAATTGATTCAATCATTATAATGATAACTGTAATACCCTCACATCCAAACTAATTTAATCATCAGCTCAGCCGTATGGCACCCTCGAATTTTATCTTCCATTTAATTTCTAAACAACAAAACTGTAGGCACTCAAGGTGTAAAATCGAGGTACTTATTTAACATGACTGTATGTTGTCAGAATAAATAGAAAAAAATATATATCTACCGCCATCTTTTGTTAAAAGTATTTATAAAACTAATTTTATCTCCTTACTTGCCTTTTTTAACTTTATCATTACTTAAAAGTTACTTCTAGAGGTTACACTGGGTATCTCACTGGGCTATTTGGCAGGAAATTTACTTATATGCCAAATATGTTGGATGCCCATGTGGCTATGTGGTAGTCTATTAAAAAATGGTTGGTAACCTAGGGATAATATATGAGAAAGAGTTCTATATCTAGCAAATATTAAAAGTTATAAAAATAAATATCCTACTTTAATTGGGTAGTTCTATCAGAAAATATTTGCCAATTAGGCACTTTCTACATAAGTTTCACTACTAAACAACAAGACTAAATGCCAGAGGCCAAATTATGAACTTTGTGTTAGGAATATAGAATACTTCTTTTCATGTTTTAGATTAATTCAGTTTTCCACACTTAGTCTTAATTATTGGGCCACTCTGCGTGTCTCAAAACATTCCTGTTTACTCCAGCCAGCCTAAGTTAGTCCAGAAGGAAAGCAGCCTTGGTAGACTTGCAAGCTTCTGGACGTGATGCTGGCGACTGCAATCTGTGATGACATACTGTGGTGTTTCTTCTGCTTCCATGCATCCTCTGCATAGGGGAAAAATCATGTTATCCACATTGGGCATTCTTGCACCAGAAGTACGATTACCTCTAACAGCAAGGGATAGAGCATGGTCACAATTTCATCTACAAAGGCAGAAATTGTGGCATCTAGCCAGTGAAACTACACTGGAAATAATTTGTATTTCATAAAAAATAAAATAAGAAGATTGAAGTTTCATGGGAGTTCGGCAGAGTGACTTAGGCTGCAGCATTATTGGGCTGACTCGACCAGTGTGAAGTATTACTTTGTGCTGTGTTCCGCCAAGACACTCTTTTGGAGACTACTGGAGGTGCCTCCCCATTTCATAATGGCACAGTTAAATAGAATAACCAGCTGCTTTTGCGCTGGAGAAGTCCCTATCTGGGCATCCACGCCGTGCAGCGTTGCGCAGGGCAAAAACTGCTCTCAATAGATAGATAAATCATTTATTCCCATCAGTACAGCACACAAATTCAAGTAAACAAATAGAACAATTAATTACAAGGTATGTAACTGTGTGCCGCAACAACAGAAAAAGGCAAAAACTCAGCAATACCTTTGCTCTAAGAGCAAAGCACTGGTTAGAAACTGGTCTGCCTAGAAAGCGTAACGTGAAACGACATGGACATGACGTGATTAATTTATTATTAAGAGAATTAAATTATTATAATAGAACTATATATATTGTTATCATTCAACAAAAATTATTAATTATTACTGTTATTATTACTTTTTTAGTATTTAGATTAATATTGAATTTCTGAATTAATATTTACCCATCAGCATTTAACACACAGAAATTGTGACACACCTATTAGAAAGAGGCAGAAACCGCTACCATACGACCACATGTGGTTATTCCTAATCTTTGCATTTCTAGTAATATTAATTTTAAATATTTGGCGAGATATGATCCTCCTTAGTGGAGGTTGAATGTTGTTGCAGCACCTGGTCGCCTGATAGCGGAAACTACCCTTAAACGCCTGCGTTTTATGATTCTGATTTGATAAAAGTGGCTTTGCCTGTCTTGGTTGCCTGTCAGTGTCATAACGTAGTGCCGCAGTAGGGAATTTTAATTTCTCATATAAATAACTTGGACTCTTGAATTTCATGATGTCAAACATGAAAACTGCTAGATGTAAACGCCTACGCGATTCCATGTTCAACATCGAAGCCCTATTTATGAAAGGTGATATATGAGTATGTGGTGGGACATTAAAACAGAAACGACAGCAGGCATTCTGAATTCGCTGCAGTAACCTCCTACTCCCACTTAACAGCCGGGGGCTGTACACAAGATCACCATAATTTAATCTTGAGAGAATAAGTGTTTCACAGAGGGTAATGCGAGTATTTTCTGACAGTCAGCCACGTATCTTATAGAGAACTTTTAAGCGATAAAAACAACTCTTCACTAGGTCTAATATGTGAGACTCAAAACGCAACTGGCTGTCAAAAACAACTCCAAGATTTCTGGCCTCACTGACTCTCTCCACAACTTCGCCACAGACTCTGACACCAACAGCACTGCCTGAGACCCTATCTAATTGTTTACTCGTGCCGAGCACCATAAATTTGGATTTTCGTGGGTTGAGAACTAAAGCATTATCAGCAGACCAGGCAGCCACCGCATCCAAATCTATATTGAGCTCACAAATCGCATCGCTTATAGTGTTTGGCGTTTTGGACACGTATAACTGCACATCATCAGCGTAATAATGATACTTGCAGTGTCTTATAGCAGTTGGTAAGTCAGCAACATATATAAGAAAGAGTAAAGGCCCAAGTATAGACCCCTGAGGGACACCACGACTTACAAGCTCTAAACCCGAAGTCAAAAAAGACCCATCCTCTTTGCGGAGTCTTACCGCTTGTCGTCGGTCACTGAGATAACTATTGAACCATCTGACTGTTTCGGCGTCGCATCCATAAAATGATAGTTTCGATAACAGGAGGGGTATACTGAGACAATCAAATGCGCGAGAAAAGTCAAGTAGCGGTAGAAGCGTGACATTTCCCGTATCCTGTTCCACAAGTATGTTATCCGTAACATTCAACAACGCTGTTACTGTCCCACGGCCCTTACGAAACCCCGATTGAAGTTTTGGGAGAATGTTGTTCTCTTCCACATATCGAATAAGCTGACCATAAACGACCTTTTCTAAAATTTTTGACATGAAGGGCAATATACCTTTAGGTCTGAGGTCTTTAAATTCACACGGTGACTCGACTTTGGTACCGGTGTAACGAGTGAAGTCTTCCACCGAGAGGGAACAGTACAAGTAATTATAGATTTATTTATAATTTCAGTAATGACAAACAATGTGCGCGGCAAGGTTAACAATATCATGTCCCTACTAATATCATCACAACCAGTAGCATTCGATTTCACAGATAATGTATATTTTGAAACCTCAGTTTCATTTACAGTGTGTAGCTTAAAGGGCGGTGATAAATGAAGGTGCCGATGGTATTCGTAATATGTCAGTCAATACTCAAAGTGCTCATGTCCAGAGCGAGCGTTACATGGCAACCCCTGCCACGTTTATTGTGGATTTTTGCAGCGCTGTCCACTACCACCTTCATACAGTGTAGCCGGCATTGCTCTTTTTGACCGAGATGCAGATATCCTCTTGAGTCAACACCTACCGCCAGTACCCTGGGTGTTTAAAACATTCGCTGGTGTGTAAGTATACGTTAGAGAGGGTATCAGTTTCCGTCACCTCAGCAATTTTAAGGTACCTCTCCATCCTATGGTAACGTGTAGACGATGACCACGCCCGCGTCTACGCCTACTACAGGTTCCATAGCGATAATGCCGAAACAGACCGACTCTTCGATCACATCCAGGTGGTTACTAACTCTGTGCTTCAGCAGATCCTATCTACAGATTTCGTAATCCTTGGCTATTTTAACGCCCACCATGCTGAATGGCTTGGATCGCATACTACTGATCACGCTGGCAGGTCTCCTCACTACTTCGCTTTAGCCTATGGTCTAACACAACTGGTCACCTCGTCTTACGTCCAAGTAACTACTTGCTCCGTGCTTCAGTAGATCCCATCCGCAAAAATAGTGTGATCCATGGCGATTTTAACGCCCAGCACGCCGAAGGACTGGGATCACGCGGCCAGATCTGCTCACGACTTCGCCTTGGCCTATGGTGTAACACAACTGGTCACCTCATTTCACGTCCAAGTAGCTACTGACTCCGTGCTTCAATAGATGCCATCCGCAAAAATCGTAATCCTTGGCGATTTTAACGCCCACCACGCCGAATGACTGGGATGGTGCACTACTGATCATGCGGGCAGATCTACCAACGACTTCGCCTTGGCCTATGGTCTGATATAACTGGTCACCTCATCTACGCAATCCAGATGTCAAAGACCATACATGATATGCTTTAATGCACCCGATTCTTAAAAAAGGCGACCACTCACTTCCTACTA